GACGACTCGTTCCGCAGCATTCCGGGGGAGGTAGGGGCAGAGGCCCAGGTGGGAAATGCACGTGGGCTGGCCTCCACCAGGCTGAGCCCGGGCCTGTCTGCTGGGGCACGCAGTGGCAGGGCTTGGGGGCCCTGCCGGCGCTCACAGTCTGACAGGGGAGGCAGGCCCCACACTCCGGGCTTCCCAGTCTGATGGGGGAGACCTGGCCCCACCTGGGGTGACCTGGGGTGACCTGGTCCAGGCTGGAGGGGGCAGCACTGCTGCCCCCACCTCTCTGCTTCCCTCCTCCTCCTCTAGGAGGGCCTCTCCTGCTCCTTCTGCCTCCGTAGGCTTCCTGCACCCCATCTTCTGACTCTGAAGGACTGGGGTGTGGAAACGGCAGGGTCTGTGTGTGTGCGTGTATATGCGCATGTGTCTGTGCGTGTGCATGTGTGTACATGTGTGCATGTGTGTGCATGCATGGGCGTGCGTAGCCCCACACGTTTCTGCTGTAGAGAAAGAGCCCCTGCTGTGTTCATGTGCTGCCCTGTCAGCATCACCTTTCTGAGCCTCAGTTTCCTCCTCTGCACAGTCGGGGGGTCGGCAGGATTCCCCCCCGCCAGCTTGTGGGGAGGAACGTGCAGGGGGCAGCACCGTGCCTGGCTGGTGGTGGAGCTGGGAGTAGTGACTGTGGTGTGTGCATGTGTGTGCGTGTGTGCGAGTGTGCGTGCGTGTGCATATGTGCATGTGTGTGCGTGCCCGTGCGAGTGTATGTGAGCATTGTCATATGCAGGCTCCTTGTCCTGGATTGAGTCCCCTGAGGGAAGGAGGGACGTGTCCTCTGAGCTGGAGAGCCCCTAACTCACCATGTGACCTCTGCAGGATGCCCCGTCTTCCGGTCTGTTGTCCCAGACTTAAGAAGAGGCGGCTGGGCCAGAGCCCTTTGGTGAAATCCAGTCCTGCCTGCCGTGGGGGCTGGACAGGGGACGAGGAAGGGCCTGCCAGCTGGCCGTGCCCAAAGCAGAGGAGGCAGCAGGGCCGGGGAGCTGCCAGCCCCGGACGCCCCCTTCCCAGCGCCTGGCTTCCTGCCCGGCCCCCAGAGCCAGGAGGGTAGCAGTGGGCATGGCGGCAGGTTGGGGGTGTCCCATTCTGGCTGGGGGACTGCTCGCCCTCGTGTCAGCGTGTCTCCTATGAGAGGAGGTTGGGGACCCCAGTTATGTTGGGCGTTGAGCCCCCTTCCCGGGTGTGTGTGTGGCTGCTGGGGAGGGGTCAGCCTGTGCCTCTCGGGTCTTTCCGGGTGTCCCCAGCGCAGGGCTCGGCCCAGCCTCCTCCGCCTGCCTGCTCCGGGCTGGAGGATAATGAGGCCCTGTCTTCACAGACGCCTCCCGCCTGAGGCTTCCCGGCGCCGGCAGAACGTAAGTCCGACATGACTCCATCTAGGAGGTGAGGGAGCTGGCAGAGCATCAGCACCCGGGATCCGCCTGCTCCTCCGCGTCTGTAAATAAAACCGTAGTATTTATAACGATGCTGCTCAGAGCTGCGGGCCCTTCATGGCTTCAAGCGCTTCACAAAGTGCTCGCTAATTAATTCTTGTGCCCCCGTGGTGGAGGCAGGTGCCGAGGACCCCCCGCCCGCTGCCCGCCCCCTTCCACACCCTGGGCCTGCCCACACTCGGGCCGCCCCATCCTCCCCCCTGTGCCCTGGGACTGTCCTCGGAGTGGAGGAAATGCCCGTCGCTGGGCCACGTCCTGGGGAGTGGGAGGTGCTGTGACAGCTGTGAGCGTCCCGAGGGTACTCCCGGTGGATCCGCCCCAAGAGCACCTTCTCATGGGTCCGCCCCGAAGGCTGCGCTGTCAGTCTCATTCTATGGCCCAGGCAGCAGGCACAGAGAAGCGGGGGATTTGCCTGAGGCCACACAGCCATTAGGGGCAGAGCAGGGTCTGGGGACCTGGGGCCCTCTGACTCCAGAGCCTGTAGCTTTAAGCTGCCCACTGTCCTGAGAGCTCAGCCACGCCCCTTTGGCTCTCTGGGCCTCAGTTTCCCCACCCGGTAAAATAAGGCGGTTGAACTAGGCCACGTGCCTCTCAGCTGTGTCCTCCCTCTGAGGGTTTAGGATTCTGCCCAGAGGCCAGACTCTGGGACCCCCATCCTCAGGGTCTCAGGGACACTGGCCCACTTGGGTCCCTATCACCCCGGATGCTGGCCCAGATCAGCCTTTGTGGCTGCGTCCTGCCGGGGTGCCTCTGCTGGCCTGTGACCCTGTTCACTGTGACAGAGAGGTGACAGGAGGAGGTGCCTTGCCCCAGCCCAGCACCTGCCACCTGCAGGGTCGCGGAAGATGCGGGGGGAGGGCCCGGAGCAGGGCGGCCTGCTGTGACCCTGCCGGCCCCTTGCCACCCGCTGGCCAGCTGGAGCTCCGCACTCAGCCCTCACCTGCTGTCAGATTTTCCAGAAGAGCCAGGCTTGCAAAGACGCCGACTCCAGGCCCCTGCCTGCTCCTGGCCCAGCTGGTGTGATCCGGGCGTGGGCTGTCTCCTGTCCCTGAGTCTCGCCACGTGGAAGGAAATTCCCTCACTGGAGTTGGTCCTGTCGTGGGGAGCGCAGCCCCTGGTCCGGGGGCAGCTCTGAACAGCCGTTTGTGGAAGCAGGAGGGATGCAGGGCCTGCCCTCAGGGAGCCCCGTGACCCCCAGGGGGCCAGAGATCAGTCCCGGCATCTCTGAACAGTCATCGGTGGGGGCATGGCGAGAAGCGGTGGCGCGGGGCCGTGGAGAGGTGTTGGTGCTGGGCTGTTACTGAGCTGTGGGCAGCGTTACGGGAACCAGGCAGGCCTGGGGGACTCCCCGGGCCAGCCACTGCGGGAGGCCTCCCACCCCAGGCCTGGAGGATTGAGGGAGGGTGGGCTTGCAGAGCCCCGAGAGAGGGCAGCTCGCTGGGAGCTGTGGCCTTGGGAGGAAGTGGCCACTGAGAGCCGTGGCTGGGCCGTGGGCCCTGTCCTCCCTCCTCCTGTCCTCCTCCTTCCTGCTGGTTCCCGAGTTTGCCTAACCCATTGGAAGCCAGGGAGCCCAGGGCGAGAGGGCCTGGGTCAGGCAGCCCCGAGCTTGAGCTCGGGCCCTCAGAGCCAGGGCGAGGTGGGGGTCTGGTGGGGTGCTGAGCGGTCTCGTGACAGCCGGTGTTGTAAGAATAGGGAGCTGTGTTCTGAGGGGAGGATGAGCCCCGACCAAGGCCCAGAGGGCAAGAGCACTTGGGGAGCCCCTGAGGGCTGTGTCCTCCCGCCCTCTGGAAGGCACTGCCCCAGGGCATTGGGCCAGGGAAGAGGAGGGGCGCCAGGAGCAAGGTCCCACAGGAGAGCGAGGGCAGGGGCGCCAAGCTGAGGCTCGGTGGGGAGAGCCTGGAGCTGGCTTTGGGGACACAGATCTGGAGCGGGTCAGAAACATGGAGAGGGAAATCCAGATGGGATTAGGGCAGGGTGGAGGGAGGAGGTACCAGCATCCGGCCGGCCGGCATGCTGGGTGTCCTTGGGAGGGCCTGAGGCCCCTTTGCCGAGCCCCCACCTCCAGGGCTGGCCGGAGGCCGGGCAGTGGGCCAGAGGGCCTGCAGTTGTCGGGTCAGCTGACCTGAGCGCCCCCTGTGCAGTGAGTGTGACCTAGGCTGCGTTGGCTTCCTGCAAACATCACTGTCATTTATCCTAATGTCCTACCCTCGAGTCCCCAGGAATGGGCTGTTTACCAGGACCTCTGGGTGCTGCGGCTCCGGTTACAGCCAGGGGAGCAGGACGATCCCCAGGGAGGTGGGGCGAGTGGCCGCCACAAGGCCTGGGCCCAAGCAGGGTGGGCCGGGGGCTTATCCCCTCCCTTCGGCAAGGCCCACCATGCAGATGGTGGGGGTCTGCAGAGGGCACGAGGGCGCACATCTTCATTCTGGCCCAGCTGTGACACTGGGCCCAGGAGGTCCATTCTGCGTCTGGGAGTTGGGCTGCATGGTGGCTCACTGCCGTCTCCCATTCCATCTCCCGAGGACCAGCAGCTGCTGGCGCCTGCCCAGTTCTCAAAGCCCTGGGATTTCCAACAGGGAGGGAGCCTCCTGTACCCTGGGGTGCTGCGGGGGACCCAGGCCTGGCCCTTGGGGGGGCTCTCCCCGCTCAGGATAATCTCCCATCTCTTACTGGGAGCCTTGTGGACTGGGGGGACCCCAGCTCTGCCCATCCCTGCGTCCTCCCTGGGGTCTTCGGGCCCTGGGCTCCGCAGTGAGGGGCTGTTTCCAGGCCCTTCCCCTCAGCAGGGGCGGATGTGTGACAGAGGGTTCAATGCAGTGCTCTGAAGTTGTCTTATTCAAGCTCCCGCTCTGTGTTGGGGTCTCCAGAGGCCCCGAGAAGCCGAGGGCCTTGTCTAGGGTGGGGGCTGAGAAGCTGTCCCTGAGGGGGCCATGGGCACCCCGGGAGTCTACGGGGGTGTCTGGACGTCGTCTCTGGCTCAGAAGAGCAGGCCCACAGGAGGGTAGGCTCTAGTGGGCTTAGGGGAGGACCCGTCCATCCTGGTGCTGCTCCCTGCTGTGCACTGGTGTCTGGGGTGTCCCTGGGGGCACGGGCCGCATACCCCCACCTGGTCAGGCTGTAATGGTGCCGTGTGGGTGGCCCTCCAGCCCTACCAGGCCTCAGGCAGTGGCTTCTGCCCACTGCTGACTCCCGTTCCCTGGTCCAGGGTCCTTGGTGCCCACCAGAGAGGAGGGGGGTGGATGTGGGGGTCAGGCCAGGAGGCTGCAGGGGCCCCCAGGGCCCATCTCAGGAGATTGTGGGGTTCTGGCGGGGTCCCCAGCCTGGCTGTGGTTCAGTGTCGTCCCAGGCCTGCTGGGTGACCTCAGGGAGGGCATGGCCCCCTCTTGGGAAGGGCGGCTTGAGCTGCATGGGCTCCCAAATGGGAGGTCTGTAAATGCCCAGCAGCGTACCCTGGCCTCCTTGGCATTCTTCCCACGGCGGTCTTCCTGGGGACAGTGTTGACGTGTCCCTTCTTCTCTGCCTCTTCCCATTGCCTCTTTTCCTGGGCTCCCAGACACCAGGCCGCCGCCTGAGTACGCCGTCTGCTCAGTCCCTGCCCTTGGTGCTGCTCACCCTCTCATCTCCCCCAACCCCTTGGCTGGCCCCAGCCATCCTGGCTCACGCCCAGGTTTGGTCTCCAGCTTGTGGTCTCCCTGGGGCCCCTCTCCTTCCCGCAGCTGGAGGGGACTTTCAGAGATGTGCATACTATCCTGTCCTTTTCCTGGGCTGTGTCAGACCCTCCCTGTCCAGGAACTCGGCCCTGCTACCCACCTGTCCCCTGTGCACTGGCTCTCCAGCTGGTGTGAGAGACCGTTCCTCATCAGGAATCTCTCTGCTCTGGCTCTGGGCCTTTGCATATGTCGTCTCCTCTGCCTGAACCCTTATTGCTATTTTTCCTGCTCCTTCAGTTTCATTGCCACTTGTTCCGGGAAGCCTTCCTGGCTTTACCTGAGTCCATAGCCCATCAAAGCCCTTTGCACTCCGTGTTGGGAACTCTGCTGAACCGTCGGCTTCATGAGAGCCAGGCCCCATCTGCCCTGGCCTGTGCCTGTCCCCGGGAGGGTCCCGGTGTGAACGTTAGCTGAATGAATTAGCGAGAGGCAGGTGTGCTCTGTGTTCTCAGAGCGCACAGCCGAGAGGCCAGGCTCGGGGCAGAGACGGCGCCGTGGTCTGGCTGGCTCTGAGCGGTGTGTCCCACACCGGCCCTGCTGGGGACGCTGGTGTTGTGGCCACACTGGCTTGGAGCTGGCACTACTTGGCCCCGTGGGCTGATCGGCTGGCCCCCCACGTTGCAGCCGTGCAGGAGGAGCGGCAGCGGGGCAAGGATCGGAGTGAGAGCGAGGTGGAGTCCACGAGCAGTGCCCACGAGGACATGCCGGTGGAGAAGATTCTGGAGGCCGAGCTGGCTGTGGAGCCCAAGACCGAGACGTACGTGGAGGCGAACGTGGGGCTGAACCCCAGCTCGGTGAGTGCCGCCCGCCCGCGTGCCCTGCCCTCAGGTGGCGGGGACCTGCCTCGCTCTGGGGACCGCTAGTGCTCCTGGGTGGGAGCTCGCATCGTCCCAGGCCCCCTGTGGGGCACTGCGGCTAAGCCCCATGGGGCGCGCGGGATCTCCATGGCTGGAATCAGACAGGACTTTGTGCTCATCTTCATGCTTGGTGTTGTCTCTGGCCCATTGTCCCGCTGCTCATCCTGGCTGAGGCCTCTCCCTGCGGCCCCAGGTCCCCCCCCGCATGCCCAGCCCCGTCCAGCCCGGTGGCCTCAGTGCCAGTTTGTCCCGGGCCTCCCACACGAGCCCTTAGCAGGCCCTTCACGTGGGGCCGGGAGTGTTTAGACTGCGTATCGCTTCAGTCAGATGGTTTCTGTCAGGGGAGGCTCTTCAAAGGAGGCCTTTCCTCCTGTGCGGAGGCCCGGCCATTGTGGTTTCTAGAATGAGGGATTTCCACGTCCAGTGTATGCGCTCCCCCTCGCTCAGGACCCAGGGGGTCTGAGATCCAAGCTCCCCGGCCAGGATCCAGGGAGGGGGCTCCTGTGCTGCTGCTGCTGCCAATGAGGCCCACCTGGGTTTCCTCATCTGTGAGAGTGATTGGAGAGTTCCCTTCTGGATAGAACTTTCCGGAAGGGCCTCTAATGCCACCCTGTCTGTCTGTGTGCCACCTCCGTGTCTGATAGGAAGAAACAACACGGGAGGGCCACCGTGACTGTTAAGAGTCCCACCCCAGCTCCAACACCCAGCCCCTCGGGCTCCTCGTCTGAGACCGGGGTCACCCGGCACCTACCTCCCACTGCAGGGGGGACGAAATGGGTGGTACAATCAGGTGATCCTCCTGTGGCTGCTGTAACAAATGACCACAGACTGAGTGCTGAAAACAACACAGATTTTAGTACTTTACAGCTCTGGGGGTTGGAAGCCCGAAGTCAGTCTCGCTGGCTGAGGTCGAGGTGTGAGCAGGGCGGGTTCTTTCTGGGGAGAATCCGTTTCCGTGCCTGTCCCGGTGCTGGAGGCGCCCACGTTCCTTGGCTCATGGTCCCTCCCTCCAGCTTCAGGGTCAGCAGGGTCTTCTCTCCTCTGACCTCTGCTTCCGTCCTCACATCTTTTCTCTGACTCTGAGCCTCCTGCTCCCTCTCATGAGGACCCTTGTGGTGACACGGGGCCCACCCGCATCATCCAGGATCATCCCCATCTCAAGATCCTTAACTCGACACGTCTGACAGTCCCCTTTGCCATGTAAAGTGGCGCATCCACAGGTTCTAGGGATTAGGACGTGGACGTCTTCGGGGCTGTTACTCAGCCCACGCCGGGTAAAACCTGTGAGCGGGGCCTGGTCCTGGGCTCTGTTCTTGCAATAGTGCTCACTTTGGCCCCCTCCCTCCACCAGCCCAACGACCCCGTCACCAACATCTGCCAGGCGGCAGACAAGCAACTCTTCACGCTGGTGGAGTGGGCCAAGCGGATTCCGCATTTCTCTGAGCTGCCCCTGGACGACCAGGTCATCCTGCTGCGGGCAGGTGAGTGGTGGTCCTGGTGGGCACTGGGTGATGCAGCGCAAGCAGAGGGGGCGGGGGCCTTGGAGCCCCGACAGTGGGACAGATCCCAGGATGCTCCTCCTGCCGCGTGGGGCCGTCGGGGACAGAGCACGGGGTGTGTAGGGCCTGGGCTTCTCCCCCAGCACTGCCAACTCTGGCCCCGTTTTCCCTCCCCTCCCTCAGAAGGAGGTATTTGGTTTGAGGTCTCTCTAAGTGGTCTTCAGACAGGTGAAGGGCTGTCGGGGGGTCTTCTGGAGAGGGAGGGCTGAACGTGTCCCGCAGGGGCTGCCTTCGAGAGTTTGTGGGTTCTGCTGCCTTCTCCCCCGTCACGGCCTTGGCCCCTGTACTGAGCAGGGCTTGCCGTGCACAGGGCCGGTGCACAGAACATGCTTGCTCATGCTCAGCACACGCCCTGTGCCCGGATGGGGTGTGCCAGAGGTGGCCGGAATGGTGGGTGAGAGCGTCGGCTTTGGGGTCTGGGGTCAGGCCCGAGTCCTGACGTGGTAGGCCACCCCCCAAGCCACTTCCTCATCTGGAAAGTGGGTGTGACGGACACACCGAGGGGAAGCCGGTTTCTGCTGTGAGACTAGGGTCTTTAGTGCAAGTTCCTGCAGGAGGGACAGTGGGGTGGGTGAGCTGAGGTGTGCCCGGCCTTCAGAAGGTGCCAGCAGGGAGCACCCCCGCCCGCCACTTCTGCTCCGCCGGCCTGTCCATCCATGCGTCATGGGCTTGCTGTGTGCGCCGGCCCAGGCTGCACCCTGCTCAGCCGCCTCCTGATGCCAGCCGTGTGCCAGGCCTGTGCTGGGTGCTGCAGGAGTGTCAGAGGCCGGCTCAGCCTGTGCCTGCCGGACCCCAGGAGAGGTGGGCTGGCGCAGAGCTGGGAGGAGGCTGGGTCGGCCTCGGTGGGGACGGAAGGGAGAGGCAGAGCGATTCAGAGCGGCAGGGACAGGTCCAGGCGGGGAGGGCAGCACGCTCAGGGCCGGCTCTGCCCCTTGCAGAGCTCTCGTCCTCAGCCTCCTGGGCCCCTGCGCTTGGCTGGCAGGATGTCCCTCCATGCTGGCCTGGTGGGAGGGGAGGAGGGCCTGTCCCTTCCCAGAAGAGTTTCACTCTAACTAGGGCATAAAACCCAACACCCAGAGCCATCGGGAGAGATGACGACCTTCAGTGTAGGAAGGACCGGGGCCTGGGTTCTCATCCTGACTCAGTTTCTCCCGGTATGAAATGGGGCTAATACTTGCTTTGTAGGATTGTAGTCAGGATTTAATGGGATAATCCACATGATACCGTCCGCCACGGAGCTTGGAACCTTCTGAGCACTCGGGAATGGTGGCTTTGAACTTTGCTGTTATTGTTCTTACTGAAGATGGCTGCATGTTACCCGTCTTACAGGCGTCATTAGAACGTTTCAGCACAGAAGTTGTTTTATTTCAAGTTCTCCTTCTGTATGTTTTCTTAACCCTTTGATGCCCTCTTTGGTTTCTCTATGCTGGGTCCTCATATAAAGAGTGTTGAGTTGGCCTGTTTCAATTCAATAATTTCCTATTTTGTGGTATTCCTCATAGTAGACATTGATCTCTGAGTTTGCTATTGGGACCGGACTGGCAGCAGCTATCCTGTGGCCACCCCGGAGAGAATCCCCGGGAGGTCCCCGAAGTGCTCCATGGCATTAGCTGTTTCGTGGCCATCCCAGAGAGAATCCACAGGAGTTCCCCCACATGCTCCGTGGCACGAGCTGTTTCGTGGCCGTCCCAGAGGGAATTGTAGGTGCTCCCCCATGTGCTCCGTGGTGCAGGCATCCTACACTTGCAGAAAGAGATGCCCCTGGCCCCTGAGCTTGGGCTGCCCGGGTTAAGCAGAGCCGAAGGAGGTGCTCCGTGCAGGCCTTCTCAGGGCCTCTCCTGGGCCCATGTGCACTGTAGAGGAAAGAGGCATTCCAGACGTAGCTGCTCGGGAACCTCTTTTATGTAGAACGCTCATGGGGTTCGAGTTGCACAGACCCTACTTGGGGAACCCTGGCCTGGGTTCTCAAAGGGATGGGTCCATGATAGCGATGCTGCCTTCGGAGGGCCGAAGAGGGGTTTGGGGGAGGGCGGGCCAGCGGGGCTGGAGACAGCCGAGTGACCGTGTGCCCTCCCCCCAGGCTGGAACGAGCTGCTCATCGCCTCCTTCTCCCACCGGTCCATAGCCGTGAAGGACGGGATCCTGCTCACCACCGGGCTGCATGTCCACCGGAACAGCGCCCACAGCGCAGGGGTGGGCGCCATCTTTGACAGGTGGGGGCCCTCAGCCCACGGTCACATGCTGCTTGACGTTCATTCTGTTTGCGAAGGTTATAAACGTGGGGAATGGAGAAAAGTGCGAGGAGAAGATTGAAGTCCCCGACGTGCCCGTCTGGGGTACCCGACGGCCAGTTAGCTCTTGGTGCATTTCCTCCAGCACTCTGTAAATCCCGCACCCAGGAGGGACAGCGCCCTTTCTCCGGAAGCCGTCGATTACACGGTAGACAGGGTTTTGTAGAGTCTGTTACGTAGGACACGAGCTGTGGTGTGACGCATGGCAGCCTGCGTGCGCCCTGTACACTGACCCCTGGTGCTCAGCTGTGTCTGAGCCACTGCTCCTGCCCCCTCCCCCATGGAGCCCGGAGGCACGAGCCTCCGCTGCTCCTCAGCTCACGCCCCGGGGCCGCGCTGGGCGGAGGCGGGCCCGCGGCCTGTCTGTCTCCATTCACACTGCTCTCCAGAAATGCGGCCTGTTTACGCCCCACCTGGTGAGGGGCACAGGAGCCACCCATCCCTGTCTCTGGCCGGCCTTGTCTCCGAGCCCAGGGGACCCACACCAGGTGCGGGCGTCAGCTTTAGCCAGCTGGAGTGGGAAGGCTAGGGGGACATGGCAGGGTTCCTCGGGTGGGGGGCTGCGCATGGCAGTGAGTGGGAAGGATCAGGCCCAGGGGAGGAGGCGGTGGAGGGGTCCCAGGCGAGCCCCCAAGTGTGGGAGCCTTGAAGTTGGAAGTGAGCAGAGGCCCCCCCACCATCACCCACTGGGAGTTCACTCCTCTGGGCTCTGCTTTGGTTTAGTGATGCAGACCCAGCTACACACCAGCTGACAGTTCCATGGTCCCAGCTGCCGGAGGGGTGACAGTGATGGAGGCATCAGGTTATGTTCTCTGGGGTCCCGGAGCAGCCGTTGGGAGGCCCAGCTTCTCCTCGTCCTTTGTGTGAACGAAACGAGAGGATGGGGCTTTTCCGCGCTCTCTGCCCACCTCTCTGCAGCTCTGTGCCTCGTCTACAAGCAGACTCTGAGGCCCCGGGACATCTGAGCGCCCGTTCTCTCCCACTCCAGGCTCCCTTGGATCTTTTCCTGGGCTGCGAGCACGTCCGCCCCCAGCCTGTGGACCTGCAGGACTCCCCTGGGCCCACAGGGAAAAGCCTGGGCTCCTCAGGGTGACCGTCCAGGCCCCACCCGGGCCACCCCCCTTTGCTCCCCTGCAGCCTGGCCTCACCACCACTCTCCACTTCCTGGAAGTGACTGTCACGTTTTGGGGGTCGGCGGGTGGCTGATGAGGTTGGGGAGCCCAGGCTGTGGGGGGTGCTATAGATAGGCCAGGGGTCTAGGATGCTGCCACCCGCCGGGGCTGGGGTAGCTAAGGTTGGATCAGAGCCCCCCAAAGGGTTGCAGGGAGGGTGCCCCACTCTCCGACAAGGCTATCCCCGGTGGAAATCAATAGCTGGTGATAAGAAGTGAAGTGTAGCCACTCTCACTCTCCAGCAGCTTGGAAGGATCTAGGAGGGGCTCAGCCTGGGAAGGTGGCTTTCCCATGGACTGGAGGTAGCGGTCACCAACGTGATGCCCCAGGGCCCTGCTTTGGGCTGCGCTGCCCCTTCTGCAGCTGAGCGGGACGTGTGGCAGTGGACTCTGCCCCCGACGTCCAAGCCCCCGGCTCTCCCTGGCTCAGCTGTCACGAGGTCCCCCCTTAGTCTCTAGGTTCCCAGAATGAAATGTCATGCGCAGACCCTATCGAGGGAGGGAAGGAGAGGAGCCCGCCCAGGGGTGGGACCGGACAGGCCTGCGCGGTGCCCTGGTGTGGCCTTGTCTTTCTCAGCTGATTCCAGGGCCGCACTGGGCTCCCCGAGTCCTTCGGGTGTTTCTGGGGGGCCCTGGCAAGGGGCACGGTCTGACTCGGGCATTGGCACCTGCCTGCTTCCTCTGCAGGGTGCTGACAGAGCTCGTGTCCAAGATGCGGGACATGCAGATGGACAAGACGGAGCTGGGCTGCCTGCGCGCCATCGTCCTCTTCAACCCTGGTACGGCCCTCCCGCCGCGCGCTCTGCCGTCCACGCTCGGGCAGCAGCCCTCCAGGGTGGCTAAAGGCACCACGTCTCCCCCCAGCTCCACTGCTTCTGGCCTCCCTGCTCTGGCCGCGGTGTCTCCTCTTTACGAGGGTGGAGTAGCCGTGCTGCTTTCCTCTTGTGGCCCTTGAGGGGGTTATGCGGGGCGGCCTCTGCATTCCACAGGGCTCAATGAGCACGTTCGTCCTTAGTGGTCTGGTGAGGCCTCTGGCCCAGCCTTCTGAGTCTGTCCTCCAAAGCTTGGCTCCACTTTGCACTGGGATCCTGGGCTCCAGAAGGGACAGACCCTTCATGAGTTCCCAGTGCCTCAGTTCTGGAGCCCAGACAGTCCAGGCTGGTGTCGGTGATGGGCTGGACCTACCTGGGGTCCCTATGTGAGCAGCCAGTCCTGGACCTCAGGTGCTGTGTCGGGAGGGGCCTTCTCGGTGCTCCACCCTGGACGGGCGAGGCCGGGGTGCAGGCAGGCCCCTGCCACGGCACCGCACTTCTCTGGCCTGTTTGCCCTCTATCAGAGCCTCTGAAGTGACCAATGCTAATGCAGTGCTTGTGTGCTGGGCCCCGTGCCCGGCTTGGGGGGCCCCCAGGGTGCAGCTGGGCCAGGCCCACCCTCTGGAGCTTAGCAGTCGTGCAGGACGCTTCCTGGAGGAAGTAAGTTTAGAAGGCCAGGTGTAGTGGGAGGGGGTGAGGGCTGGGCCTGATCCTGGGGCTGCGGGTAGCCCTGGAGGGTTCTGGGGGGCAGGGAGCTGTGGGGTGCCTGTGTTTGCAAACTCACCTCACTGTCTGTGGGGTGAGGGGGACCCCAGGGGCAGGTTCAGGGCTGCGGTGGGCTCCAGGGAGAGGTGGAGGTGGGCCGGCCCCAGGGTAGCAGGCCTGACCCACTGGCCTTGGAGAAGCTCCGGTGCTGAGGACTGGGCTGGGGTGAGATGGGCGTCCTCTCATGGGGAGAGCCCATCTCTGGGGCCGTTTGTCACCCAGGTTTGTGCTTCGAGCCCAGGATCCCGCCAGCATGGGAGGCTGAGCCCTGCGTCTTGGCCCTGCCCGGTGGAATTCTCGTTCAAGTTGTGCGTGGTTTGGCTGCCAGCACTGGTTGCCGAGCCGAGGCCTGGGCACGGGTCCTCTTGGACAGAGGGGTGACGGCTGGAGCCAGGACGGCCCCAGGGCCTGGGGAGCCCAGCTACAGAGGAGTTGACATGTTCCTAAGGTGCCTGGGACCCTAGGCTACCCGTGGCGTTCACGCCAGGCCATGGTGCCCCCGCTGGGATGTCAGACTGCCAGGGCAGAGCCGGCGTGAGACCCCCTGGCCTGGGGCTCAGAGGTGACCCGACAGCAGGCCTGTCCCATGGCAGAGCCCCGTGCTCTGCAGCCGCTCTGGACCAGCAGCAAGGGGGCAGGTGTGGGCTCTAGCCTGTGTCCTCTGTGCCACCGGGATGGGCCACGCTTGGCTGGAGCCACACCCAGGACTGTGTGAGCCCAAAGCGGGACGCCAAGTGGCGGCTGCTGTGGAGAGAAGGGTTTGTTCGATGTGGGCTTGGTGGGTCCTGGGAACCCGCAGGAGACGAGGCTGGGCAAAGCTGTGCCCGGCACAGTGGGCTCTTGTTGGCTCAGAAAGCCCCGGGACGTTCACCACAATGACCCTGGGAATGACCCTTGCTCCTCACACCCCACCCCTGGGCCCTGGAGGTTTCGACCACCCTGGTTCCAGGTATCTCTGTCCACAGGCAGAGCCCCCTCCAGACTGGGCTTCTGCCCCAGGCTCCCGGCCTCCCCCACGGCATGGGCCTGCCCATTTCTGGGAAGAGGGTTAAGAGTTGCGTCTAAAGGGGCTCAGACCCCAGTGTAGTAAAGGCCGCAGGGGTCAGCTGGCTCTCCGGGCACTGTGGTGACCAGGACAGGGTGAGGGCAGGCCCGTCGCCCTTCACAGATGGGGAGGCTGGGTGGTCGGCAGGTCCAGGGACTGGCCCAAGGTCACGTGGCCAGCGAACGGCAGGGCCAGGCCTCAAGCTCATGGTGGCCTCGAGGGGGTAGAGCCCGCCGTCCAGCAGCACACTGCCGGCCTCGTCTGAGCAGGGGCCGTGGGGAGCCAGCCTAAGTGCCCATTCCCGGGGCAGCCTCCCAGGCGAGGGGCTCTGACCTGCGGCCCCTTCCCCCTCACAGACTCCAAGGGGCTCTCGAACCCGGCCGAGGTGGAGGCGCTGCGCGAGAAGGTCTACGCGTCCCTGGAGGCTTACTGCAAACACAAGTACCCCGAGCAGCCGGGAAGGTGAGCCCCTGCTCGCGGCCACTGTCCTCCAGGGACTCTGGATCCTCACCCTGCCCGGGCAAGACCGTGCCAGCCCTTCCAGCAACTCCGTGAATTAGGGGCGGCACCCCTCCTCCGTGGAGGGCAGCCTGGGAAGCTCCAGGCTGGTCTTCAGTGGGTACAGGGTGCTCTCCGGGCCCCAGCGTGTGCACACTTGCACACTCTCCTGTAGCACCCCCAAAAAGATGGGCTAGCCACCGGCACCCAGTAGGGGCTTGTCTTTGTGGAGTGTGTACCTGAGGGTGTGCCTTCCTCCCCACTAAAGGGAACCACTGGGGGCAGGGTTGGCATGCTCACCCCAGGAGGGACAGGTGCCAGCACATAGTAGGTGCTTTATGAGCATGTGCAGAGTGATGGCCGTGGTTGGGTGCAAAGCTTGCCTCTCTTGCCACCTGACTGTGGGCCCCGGAAGGCTGGGACAGGCTCATTTCTGGGTCCGTGGTGCCGGGCGCACAGTAGGCGTCCAGGAGAAGGGGACAATAGTGGCCTCGTGACATTCCAAGTCCGTTGTCCTGATTCCGGCCATCCTTCCAAAAGGGCATCTCCGGGTTTCGGGGTGTGCAGGCCCCCCGAAGACAGCAGGCCCCCCTCTACCCCGCCCGCCTGCCCCTGGCACCCACAGGGTTAATCGACCTGCCCCTGCACAGCCCTCATCTGCTTTGGTTTAAAGTGAACCATCCCGGAGGACCAGGAGGAGGACGGAGGGGAGGACGGAGGGGCGGGAGGGCCGCGTGTTTTTCCTGGCTCCATGCCTCAGCCCATCTTGCCAGCTCAGCAGAAAACGGCTCGTTCTCTGGCCGCACTCCAGCCTCCAGGCTGCGTTTCTGCACTGGAAACGCGGGTTCTGCGGCAGCCAACCACAGGGCTCTCTCCCCCGAAACACAGACAGAGTTAATAATTGACGGGCCCCGCAGCCCCTGAGGGTCCGTGTGGAGAGACCGGGCAGCATGCAGGGGCGGGCAGATGTAGACGCCCTGGAGGGACATCTGGCTCAGTCCCCACACGGCACTGTCCTTGGCAGCAGAGCGGCTGAGCCTAGCATTCCTTTTCCAAGAGCCCCCAGACGTGCCCCCCCCCCCCCCCCCCCCCCCCCCCCCCCCCCCCCCCCCCCCCCCCCCCCGCCATCCAGTGTCTTTCCTGGGAACTCCCCAGGGGGCGGGCAGGGCCCGAGAAGCAACGCTTCCCTCCCATCCACCCTCTCTGGGCATCGCGTGCCTCCGGCCCAGCTCCAGCAGAGCTGGTCCTGGGGAGTGGGTGCTGGCACGGGGCGCACGGATGCTGCACTTTACGAGAAGGGGCTGCTTGAGCACAGACTGGCGCCCCAGCTCAGGAGTGGCTCCACCTTTGCCCTCCCCACTGCAGCCAGAGGCATCGCTGAGACTCACATCCATTCTCACAGCTCTCTCCCCTGCTTAAAATCCTGCTGTAGCTCCCTATTGTTCTTGGAGAAAGCACACATATTTTAACTTCCCCACAAAGCCCTATTCAGCCTGCCACAGCCTGGCCGCTGGCCCTTCATCCCAGATCTCCACTCCATGGTGTTCTTTCTGGGCTTTTGTGCCCATCCTGCACTCTCCTGCCTCCAGGCCCGGGCGTGCTCTGTTTCCACTGGCTGAGAGGCCCTGCTTCCTGCTCTACGGCTCAGCCCAGGAGGTCTCGTGCTGCTGCAGCTGCAGGGGAGTCAGGCAGCGAGGCTCGTCCGGTCCCCAGGAGGCAGCCAGGCCCCCGGGCAGAGGAGGGGGGCTGGCCTGCCCCGCCTCACGCCCCGCTCTCCTGCAGGTTCGCCAAGCTGCTGCTCCGCCTGCCAGCCCTGCGCTCTATCGGCCTCAAGTGCCTGGAACATCTCTTCTTCTTCAAGCTCATCGGGGACACGCCCATCGACACCTTCCTCATGGAGATGCTGGAAGCCCCACACCAAATGACTTAGGCCCGCAGGCCCGTCCTTCACGCCCACCGGTCCGGCCGCCCCGCCTGGCCGCCAGCTGCTCTTGTCAGCCGAGTCCTGTCCCCGCCCCTTCTCTGCCTGGCCTGTGTGGACTCCGGGGCGCAGCCCGTCACTGCTAAGCCTAAGAGATATGTTGCCACCCTTGTTATTTTTAATACTACTTGTCTTTGGACCTGGGCAGTGGCTTTCCCGGGCGGCAGCCAGAGTGGCCAGGACTGGTGTGAGCCCTGGCCGGGCCCATCAGGCTCTCTTCGGGGGAGCTCGGGGCAGCTCACCGAGACCCCCGCCCCGGGAGCGGCAGCGCTCGGAGAGGGCGGCTTTGTTTTGGTCACATTGTTGCTGGTTTTGGAATCTCCCAGGTGGTCCCCCTCTGTTGGGAGTGCCCCCTCTTCCCTCCTTTCGGTGCTGGTGCCCGGCCAGCTTGGCACCCCCCAGGATCAGGAGGAGGGGACGGGTTGGGGGGGCTGGTGTTTCATTGCAGAAGACCCCTTGTGCCCCCTGGAAGACGAGAGGGGCTCTGGGGCGAGCAGGCTTCCTGCCCTCAGAGTGAGGGGTGAGCTGTCCCTTTTCCAAAGATGACTTGTGATTTCGTCCCCAAGCCAATCAGAACAGGAGCTCGCCTCTGTGCAGGGACTGGGGTCACCCCCCACCCCCCCCACCTCGGTTGTCTCTTTGCATCTTCCAGGTTTCACTTTCTTCCCCTACGTGGTCCCGTCCAACCCAGGGTAACCAGAAGGCAGTGCCCCCCTCTCCTTGACCCCACATCTTCCCTTTTAGTCTGTGAGGAGGGCCAAGGCTAGCCCCTGGTTCCTGGCAGGCTAGCCTGGTCTCCAGCCTTTCTGTGCCAGACATGGCCTCTGCTGACCTCTCATGGGTAGAAGTCACCACCCGGGAGGCCCCCAGGGATGGGGGGGGAAGAGGGTCGATTTCCCCAGAGGGTCTTCAAGCAGCCCTGCACATTGGGAGGGAGGCAGGAGGCCCAGGGGAGGTATGGAGACCAGAGGGACTTGTGGCCCACAAGCCAGGCGGGGAGGGGGCCGGTGGGGCGCATCCTGGAGCTCTCCTGGTAGAGGGGCCTCCTTTGCTGGCTCCTAGAAGAATTGGAGTTGGGGACCGTTGAGTGCCAGCATCCTTGGGCCCGGGGCTAGACGCCCCTTGGGAGCAGCCAGCCCATTGTCGTCCTGTCTGGGTGACGCAGCCTCAGGTGGGGCTCCATCTGACACCGGCTCTGGTGGGAGGCTCGCCGTGCAGCCCAGCCCGTGCCTGTGAGGCATTTCAACCACCCCAGGCGGGCGCTGCCTCCTGGGTGGGCACTCCGGTTGAACCGGCCCCTCTTGCACTGTAATGCTCTCCCTGTGGTCTGAGTCCTTTCCACGTTCACGCCTCATCCCATGAATGCAACGTTTGTCAGTAGTGGGGCCTGAGCAGGGATGGCAGGGATGGGAGGATGCGGGTAGGGGTCCTGTCTTCTCAGCCCCTGATGGATGCTCTGTAACACCGGCCCCCCTCCTGCCAGCCCCCAGCAGCCCAGAAGCTGCCTTCCCCAAGGTCTGTTTCCCCAGACGGTGCAGGGGCGCCCCTGGGCTGGGCAGGGAGAGGCGGGCCTCCAGTCCTCCATGGAGGAAAGAAAGTGTCCATTCTTTGCCTTCCAGCGTCCCTGGCCGGCCCCAGCGAGCGCGAGGCACTTGGGCCGAGGCTGTAAAAGACTCCGCAAACACCTTCCTCCTCCGGCTGCCCCGCCCCCAACGCAGTGGCTGAGGAGAGGCGTCCCCTGCCATGTGGGCACCCCCTCGGCCCCCTTCAGGGCCTGCCCAGCTGTCCCTCCTCCCAGACTCTCCCTGAAAGCCTTGGTGGCCTCTGGGACATGGTTGTGACAGGCTGAGTGATGCGGGCACTCCTCTCGGGGTCCCCCCGGTTGTGGGAACGTTAGACAGCCCCCCACGCAACCCCCCTGGTGCCTTCTGCAGCCAGACGCACCCCGCAGTCCGAGCCCAGCCCCTCCTTGCTTCCCTGGCCCCCTCCGGGACGGGTGGCTCCCGTGGAGAAGACCCAGGACGGGGCCACCTGCTGGGGTCAGCTTCGTCTTGGGAACTTCGCTGTCACCGGTCCTGGCTGGCTGTCCGGAAAGCACTGAGGCCCCCAGGCCACCACCTCCCGAAGCCAGAACCATCCCCCCAGCCCGTGGGCTCGTGCAGCCACCCAGCGTCTCAGGCCTCGGGCTGTCCTTTCCTCTCCTGTCAGTCCGCTGTCATCATTGTCATGTGAACAGTGCTGTTTGAGGCGGTGACGACGTGTGGGGCATGGCACGTCACTCAGTAGAGAGGGTGAGTTTTATTTAACCAGACCTTCAGTAGTAGTTCCGATCTGGTTCAACTAAGGTGATTTTTTGTAATTATTATTATTATTATTATTATTTTGGTGGGACAATCTTTAATTTTCTAAAGATAGCACTAACATCAGCTTGTTAGCCACCCTCCCTGCCTCGGCCTGGCCGGACGCTTCCTGGGTACCGGGCCTGCCGGCACCTCCGACGAGTTGCTCGGTGTCACCTCCCTGCTTTGACATCCAGATGGGGCTCCCAGGCCAGGGAGCGAAGACGAGCACATCCCCGGCGGAAGGTGTCAGCAAAGCCAGGCTCAGGCGCGCCCCCCGACAGGGATCTCCTTGGAAGCTGGCCAGTCTGGGACGTTCACCAAGACGGTCCCCATGTCAGCCGGCTGGCCCTTGTCACCTGGAAGCACGCAGTGTCCGGGGGAAGATGGCCCCACACCCTTGGTTTTCCAAGTCCCTTCGTTCCCAGAGGATCCAGGCTGTCGGCAGGTCCTGGAGACCACGCGGAGGCCCCTCCTCCGTGGGGGGCCCCAGGAGGGCCGGCCAGCCGTGAGCCAGTGGGTAACCAGCTGATGTTGTCCCCATCACGGAATTAGGCGCATGGCCTGGTCCCTGCCCACGCAGGTGTGTGGTGTAACATGTCTGTGCTGTACAGAGAGGAACTGTGCGTGGACCCGCACGCCGTTGACAGCACATGCGTAGCGGTTACCAACGTTCTGTGTTTATTTTTAATCAAGACTTTTTTTTTTCCTGTTCTGTAAATTTGCTTCACGTAAGCAAGTACATAAGGACCCCTCCTTTGGTGAAATCCGGGTTCGAATGAATATCTCCAGGCAAGGAGATGCATCTATTTTAAGATGCTTTGGAGCAAACAGCTTTAGCAGTCCGCAATCCTTAGCAATGCCTTAGCTGGGACGCGTAGCTCACATTCAGAGAGGATGACAAAGACACACAGAGAGTAAAGATAAGAAAATGTCTAAAGCATCGGGAAAGGTAAAAAAAAAAAATCTATTTTTGTACAAATGTAATTTTATCCCTCGTGTATACTTGGATGATACGGCGGGGAGGGTGGGGGCTTGTTTTGTTTCTGCTTCTAGAGTCCAGGCGAAAGCTTTCTCAGTGAGACGTGGGGCGTGAGGCAGTGCAGGGAAGGGGCCGGTGGCGCTTGCGGGCTGGGTGCGGAGCCGCGGCTCGGGGACCCTTCCCTGCGGGGCGGGAGGTGGACCTGGACCTCCGAGGGTCTTCTTCCCCTTTCGAGTCCTTGTTAAAGCCGCGCTCTGCTCTGTCCCCGTTGCCAGCCGGCCTTCCGGCGACTCCGTTTGACTGTGAAATGCCTTCCGTGTGTGACGGTTCTCGAAACGCCGCGGCTGCAGGTGCCGGGGTGGTCGGACGGTGGTGTCAGCATTGTGGGAAAGAGAAAAACAGAGGAGAAACAAGCAAAATATGAGCGTTTAAAAATACATCGCTGTTCAGTTCTCATTTGTTCTGGGGGGTTTCCTGTTTGGGTCTGGAGGTCGGCCACGCCAGGGGGCTTCTGGGGGCTTCTGGCCGCCCTGGAGTGGGACAGCCTGTTGGCCTCGGCCTGACCTGGGCCCAGTCCAGGTGGCGCCTCAGCTGCCACCTGACCAGCAGTGGTGGCCGGTCCAGGGCAGCGAGACCCCAGATTTGGGCTCCTGGGCCACCCCTGGCTGTTCCTTTTTCCCCGTCTGCTGTGCTCCACAGCTCTCCTGGGAGACCCCTCTGGGGCCTGGGCCGGTCGGAGGCCTCCCCTAGAGGGCTGCCTGCAGCATCCACGGGCACCAGGCGTGCAGGCACTTGCAGGTGGTCACATGTGGCCACCTGCCCTGCTCTAGGCTGTCTGAGCCCAGCCCCTGTGTCCACACCGGCCCAAATGGGCAGGAGGTTCCCACGCAGGGCCACAGGATGAATGATGTCATCTAACTGCCCCGCTAACAGCGAGGTAATGACGCCCCGTCTGGGGCTGGGCTGTGCTGTGCTGGGCTCAGCTGCTGATGGTGCCTGAACCTCTGGGCACCTCTGTCCAGTGAGCACTGTCCTGGGGAGGCCCTGGGCACTCTGGATCCTGGAGTGGGGCCTTGAGGGCCGGGGGCCTTCCCTGTGGCACCGGACAGGTTGGTGCCGAGGGCGAAGGCGGCTCCCAACTGGAAGGGGGTTAAACCTTACAAGAGAAAGGCCAGCAGCCCGAAAAGTGGGGCTCCCCTCATGTCACACCCTCTGCGTGTGCTCACGGGCATTTATACACAGTCTCACGTGCTCTCACACACGCGCACACTCGTGGTCCCGGGTCTGTGTCAGCCCCAGGACGAGGGACTGGGGGAGCAATGGGGATGGGTGGGCCTCTGTGGGGCCTCGGGGAAGCCGGAGGCAGGACTGAGTTGGGTCACCACACCCACATTCTCCCCGTCCCAGGGTGTGTAGAGGGGTGGCTGCACCCTGAAACCCGGCCGCTCCCTGGGCCCCCGACCACAGCTGAGCGTGGGCGCCCGCCGGACTCAGGAAGCACAGGAACCATTTGCCCTCCATTTTAAAGACTCACTGCCAAGCCTGCTGCTGACTCGGGGAGCCTGGTCCTCCACGTGCCCTCCCCGGGTCAGGGCCCGGGTTCGCCTGCCAGAACTGCGCCTGGACTTCCTGGAAGGGAGTGGACGCGAAGGGAGCTGTCCGAGGCGCCGGCCTGCTCCTCCCACAGCACGGCCCCCCCACTGGCCTCTGGGCCTTCCTGGGAAGCAGGCCCCCCCCACTGGCCTCTGGGCCTTCCTGGGACCAGCCCACTGGTTTCCTGTCATCAAAGCTGGCACATACCAGCCATGGGCCCCTTCCTTGGGCTGGAGAGGGGGTCAGCCCTGGAGGCCTGGGGAGCTGGGGTTGCCTCCCCGGTGAGGGGTGTCGTCCTACCTTCCACATTCCCAAACCTGCTGCTGCGAGCACTGCCTGGGCCCACTGGTTCCCTGATGGTCCCTCTCCCCTGCAGGCCCAGCCCCAGCCCTGGGCACGGCCTCTGTGGAGGGAACGAGTGGACCCTGCAGGCAGATCTCTGGCGGGCTGCAAGGGCACAGAGGTGGGGCCTCCAGCGGGAACTCACTGTGCCCTGGGGAGAGCAGGCTCTGATGACTGCAGGGCAAGGGAGGGGTGCCGCGGTCTCGGGGGGACCTCAAAGAGGAAGGTTCCTCGGGTTCCCAGGGAGTGGTGCTGGAGGGCAGATCCTTGTCTCCCAAGGAGCCACGCAGTGGGGCCCAGGCCAGCGCTGAGCTGCTCTCGGAGAAG